TACTATCTTGATCTATCTTGTACTCTTATGATTTCAATGATTTATTATATTGATTTAATATTATTTATATATGTTTTACATGTTTTGGTCAATCAACAATCTGGTATAACGATTACATGTATACAGTAGGGGGTTCTGTCCACTGATTTTATAGAACGCTGAGACTCCGAGAATGATACAACCCTATCTTTGGTAGTTTCTCTGGTATACCTTTGAAAGGAATTGATGGTACATAATAGTTATGTGTACACATGTATAAATATGTTGTATTGTTTTTGTTTGTGTAATTGCTTTCTCCTTTTGCGGCCGTTTTTTATTTCAGGACTCTGTTGATCCATTCGCTCACGGACATGGTCGGTTGACTGAGCTCCCGGTGGAGGAGAGATTTGGCGTGCTGCGACAGACGCAGCTGAATGCAGAGCTGACAACTGAAGCTTACTTTCGAGTCAGTGCTTTGAGAATGCTCAAGTCCATTCAGCAGAAGCTCTCAACTGCAGGCGGCTCACGCAAAGCAGCTGAGACAGCCTTGAGTGACAAGCAGTTGCCTGGCAAGTTGGTTAAGACACGTTTGCAGTTTAACCATATTGAAACTACTATTGAAACTATTGATGTTGTTCAGACATGTTCAGACATGTTCAGACTATATATATTCACTTTTTAGAGATCACAAAACATTGGTTGTTTGATGCTGTTTGAAGATTGACTGGGAGCAGGTTTCAGAGGGCGTGCAAACGTGCCTACGAAGCGGCAATTGGGCTTGCCGCGTGGGCCGGCAATTTCGAGCCGAACTCATTGAAGCTGTACTATGAGGAAAGCTGTGGAACGGGGTGGTTTCAAACAATGCAGCAACCTGCTCCAGAGTTTTGGGATGATGTCAGCGACAATGAGGAAGATGCAGCGATGGGCCGTGGGGCTGATCCGTTTCTTGTCCAATATATTTTTAACATCAATTTTTGATAATTTTTGAAGGTTTTGAAATTTTTTGAAATGTTTTGGATACGTGTGTTAATTTTCAATGTTTTCAAATTGTTGTCTTTCGTTTTGTAGATAGTCTAGCAATGTTTTACAATTTTCAATATACTTATGTCATTTTATGTCATGTATCTCTAAATCGCAGGACCTTGAGCCAGCAGTGTGATCAAGTCTTGCAAGACATGGCCCGCCTTGCGGTTGATGAAGACGCAGCTGATGAGAATGAGACGAAAGATCCAGATCTACGCGAGGTTGCCCTGAGGCGTTTGACGGAAGCAGAGAGAGCAGAAGTTGTTGCGGAGATGCCAGCTGAGGATGCCAAGGCACCAGACCCCATGCCAGCTGGTGTGACACCGAGGACACTGGCAGCTGCTTTGTGACTCGGCATCACGAATGCTCCTAAGTTTTCATATGTTCAATTGCATTTTTTTTGACCGGTGGAATATTTTTATAGATTGCTTATGCCGGCAGGGCCATTTTCAAGTTGAGGAGCACTGGAGGAGACCGATGGAATTCCTTATGGCGCCTTTGTTCCTTTCTTCGTTCTCCTCCATATGGCTGTGACCGCTTATGGATCAAAAATGAGATGTCTAGCAAAAACCTGCATTGGTATCAGAAGAACACACAGATCATGGCTCAGGCACATGCTTTGCAAGATCCTACTCAAAGGCTTGGATCACGCACCTCCAGATTTGAGCGCTGGGTTCAGCAGGGCGAAGCCCGAAGAAAGCAGATGTCGGACAATTTGAAGCAACCACAAGCCTTGGAGCAGCGTGCCTAAAGATTGTTTGTTTTGTTATTTGTTTATATTTCTTCTGAGGCTTCAGGAAACGTCTTTGGAGGGGTTTGTTTTGTTGTTTCATTTTTTGATGTCTTTTGATTGGTTTGGGGGTGTTAGGAGACAGTCTTAGCATGTCTTAGCATGTCTTAGCCTGGTGCTCATGGGGATTTTTCTGCATGCAAAGCTGAGGACAGGACACGTGGTTATCTTCGTATGTGACAATGGCAAAATGGAAGTTGGGTTGGTGACCAGCGTATGGAAATCTGGCAAGAAGAAGCGGTTGGTGATTGCGCCATGCTTCCTTGAATGTTGCCATGCTTTCCGTATTGCGCAGCTGCAGCCGAGCGAAAGCAAGGACAAATATGTTGTTTACTTTTCTACGTTTTTTTTTTTAATGGCTTTCTAATATATATGTTTATATAATATTTTATATATTGTTTGATTTGCTTGTTCTTTTTGAACTCTTTTTATTTGGAGATTTGGAGGAACACCCACGGGAGCTGACTTGCAACAGTACGTCTGCGTGCTATGTCCGTCCATTTGATTCGCTTGTTGCAATTCTTGACTGTGAGCCCACTAGCACCGTGCCCTCTTATTTCATTGTAATTTTGTATATTTTAGTTTTGATCCTTTGTAAATGTTCATTTCCAATGACTCTTTGTTGATCTTTGTTGAAAAATCAATAGGAATGTAGCTTCCACAAACGCATTCATACACCTTTAGAGGGTGGGCTCTCCCATTTCATAGACATATGGTTTATCATATGCAGGGATATTCCAATAAACATCAATAAACTACTCTGAACATATTCACCTGCAGTTGGTAGGGTCTATGCATTTTATAGAGAATGCTTGGGATGTTGGAATCATTAATTTGTCAACAAGATGAAGCAACAAACCCGGCAAAACATCCTCAGACTAAGCGTAATGTGTTGTTTTCCCCGGCTTCCGCTAAGGTAAAAGGAAACCGCACGAGCTGGTGGATCAATTCTACACTCAAGTCACTGCAGCCTCTTTTGACGCAGCCATCCATGCGAAGAATGAAGTGGCCGGTGAGTGGAGAATGGACGGCATTTCCTCTGCCAAGGCTCCTCGAATCAGACAAAAGAGGAAGTTCTTCAGAGCAGCCAAGTTCATCAAGCGGTCTGCCCAACAGAGTGCGAAGAAGAAGAAGCCACCCGCGGGAAAGGTGAAGCCAGCCGCAAAGGCCAAGGCGATGATCAAGCCCACGGTTGAGAACTACAAGCGCTCAAACCAGGGGTTTGAGCTGATCAAGCAGCAAGCCTCACATCTACTTGATCTTGATCGTGCAGCCTTTCCGAAGAACCCATTGTTTGACCCGGAGAGCGGGCATTGCCGTCTCAGGTTGCTTGAATGTAATGTGACATTTTGAAGTTTTTGTGGCCCACAGCTGTGCTCAGTCTACTAGAATGTTGATTTTTTGAGGTTAGACGTCCAATATCTTTCAAGTTGGTTGGCATATGTTGACATTATTTTTGTAAATTTGTTTTTGAATATGTTTGTTCTTGTCAAGTGTTTGTTCAATCTTTCAGGTTGCCAGAAGCGGCCGGCCAGACATGGGAGACCATTCTAGAGAAAGCGCCCCAGTACTTCAACTACGCCTTCGAGACCAGGAAGATCCAGCTTTGGGGAAGCCAAGTGCACAGCTTCATTGAGACCATCAAGCAGCAGCTTTTGAAGAACCCGCCAGTCAGAAGTGCGTGGCTGCGGTGGATTAAGCAGCTGTTGGAGTTTTCAGGATAGGGCGATGACTGTTCCAAGCTTTTCTAATTCATGCATTTTAGATGCGTCATTTAGTGACGCTTAGCTTTTTGCAATATCTGGTAGCAGGTCTATGATGATCTACGCTGATTTCAGGTTCACACAGGTTTTGACTCTGCGTGTTTCAACAGGTGATACATCATACATCTTGATACTGATTTATGTTATTTTACAATCTTTTGTACATTTTCCAGTAGCTTTTAGAGATTGTTGGGTTTGTTACTTGGTTTCCTTTAAGCAAATCAGACCGTTTTTTGTTTCCTTTATGTGTTTTTCTTTCTTTTCATGCCTGTGGAGCCTGCCAGAAATTATGTCCATAGCTGGACCTATCAGATGCAGACCATTTGCATCTCAGCTCACTTTCACTTTAGTGTGGGGTTGAAACCGTGCCTGCAGACATATGGTTGGAGGATGTCTTTGCTGTGCGCCGTGGGAAAAAGTGAACTTTCCGGTGCGTGCTGAAATGTATCTTGAATTTGGTACTTGGTGAACAACACGCTCACTACTTTTAGAAACAAATTTTAACACTCACTTGTAGGTAACCTGCTGGCTCATTTTCCATGTATACACATATACTTTCAGACGTTGGGATGGATGATTTAATAGACGCTCACTTAGGGTCATGCCCAGGCATTCTATGTAGCTGGATGTTTGCTGGTGGGTCCTGCCTACCATTTTATATCTATAAAATCTATGTCTAGACCCCCCCCCCACAGTATGGTTACGGGTATATTATATCCATTCTCTCTCCTGTAGCAGGACAGCAAGAGTTGGGTCAGTTTTTCACAGACTGCCAGGATGTCCTACACCTTGTTGCTGTGTAGGTACAGCTACAGCCTCAGGTGACCTACTCAGGTGATCTATAGTTCACACCTACACCTCAGGATGTACTACACTCATCGACTCGGTCACCTGAGGTATAGAAAAGGAGGAGATCGATCGCCGTTTCTCGAGAACATTCCCCTCTTTTTCTCGTGTCGAATTCGGAAAATCTCGGTTAACGCTGAGCGTGCCCTCAAAAGCGGGTGTGGTTTTTGAAAAAATCACTCGCTTAAGCTGAGCTCGCTTATATAAACGGTTTGTGATCAAGCCGTAGCAAAAAATTGCTGATCAGTCTTATTGGTACCTATATCCATGGAAACCTAAAGCCCATGAGCCTGAAAGATCGCATGCGTCAAGCTCATAGCACACCATTGTAGTAAAGAATCTGGATTGCTTGACAGGAACCTAGCTCCCTTAGCACGACTTTTTGCGCAGTTCCCTCAGCACTTTGTCACAAGATGGAGTTGTTTGAGGGATGAATCCTCCTAAAAGACTAGCAGTACCATTCAAATGGATTCAAACTGTCGGACCACCCCCAGTGAAGCTGAAGCACCTTCCCCCCCTTCTGGCAGGTTTCATGTTTCTTTGAGAAAAGATCATCCTATATATTTTCACTGACAGTCGAAGATCTTCGACCTTGCCAGGTCCCTTTACCCAAGTTTCCCCTGGAGAAGGCGTGGAAAGACATCGGGCGTTTTTTCAGCAGTTGAGTTGGAATCAACCTCAGGACCTTTTCCTTGAGGGGAAGACCTCTTTCCTCCAGAACATCTATAGGATTTGTATGCTACGCTATGGAGGGGTGTCATGCAAAAAACATGATGCCCATCTTGACAAAGCCCTGACATTGGAAGTTCCCTGGGTAGCTGGCTCTTGTTCAGATTGAACCTGGGCCTAAGAGGGGTTTCGCACCACTTAGAGAATGTTAGAGAGACACTGGAATTATCCATAAGGATCGGAAGCTATGCGCTCTTCATGAGTTTTTGGCATTTCATGCGACCTGATGAATCATGCAATGATGCCCAAGTGAGGATTTTTTCTTTGATGTGATTAGTGATGAAGCTCGTTCAGGAGAAGGCTTACAGCCAAGCGTGGCCAGAGCACTTGAACCGTCAGGCCAGAAGGGCAGGTTCTTAAAACATATACGCCGGTATGACCTTCCGGGAAGCGTTGCATTTGCATGTGCACACACATGCAGTAAGCGTTCACTGTAATTTGATGCAGCTGGTGAAGCCACCAGCGTTCTTGAAAGCGTGAGAGCACTAGAGAGCAAGCGAGCCGGGGCTCAAGGCATTGAGGTAAATGAATCAAGCCCAGTTCGAAAAGGATTATATAACATGCAAGACATAGCAACCAGCTTGGATCAGGACGATTGCTCGAAAGAAGTCTGGCCTGGAAGGAAATTGGCAGGGTTTTAGTGCTTCAGTACTGTTCCAGCAAAACAAGCTAGGCAGGCGGAGAGGCAACACAAAAATACTCCAAAGTGTAAGGCCACGTAAACATGGTGCTCCGCGCTGAAGAGAACTCCAAGAGCGATGAACACGGCGAACTCCACGCTGAACCGAACTCCAATCTTACTGAAGCCACGAAGCAAATCCCATGGCGCCGCCGTGATCTGGCCATGCCGGAGGAAGAGGCCGGAGACAGACGATTTTTCGGAAACCGAGGCCGCCGCGGATTTAATATCGGAAGAAATTCTCAACAAGCCCAATCCAAGGAGGTCAAAACATCGATGTTTCATTGTTGTTGCTTGGAATTGACTTGTTGTTTATGGAGTTCGTAGATTGTAGGCGGGTGTTGTTGATGTTATTGCTGCGGTTGTTGCTTGGTGCCTTGAAGTGCCTTGGGTAGATTTTTGGTCCCTGTATCTCCCTGTTTCTGGTACTGGATTTTCAAGAATGTCCATTCTGGTGCTCCAGGAAGGTTTGGGCCTCTTCCACGGCCAGGATGGGAAAGATGGAGAGGAGATCGAGAAGGTGAAAAAGAAAGGTAAGAAAGAAAAGAAAGGAGGCCGTTTCCGCTTTTGGGCCCATTTCCAGGGTGCTCTTCTCCAGCGCTTGTGAAGAGTGCCAGCACCTCTGGCGTGTGGCTCTTGTGTTGGTGACCCGGTTCGTCTTCTTCAATTTGTCCCGGTCGGTCGTAGTGACTGACTGATCTGCGTGTTTTCACAACTGAAGGAAAGACAGAGAAGAAAGACAAGAAAGACAAGAAGGACAAGGCCAGCCACTTGCCAATCTGTTTAATTTCAGTATTGTTCGGCTGCTCAGAAGAAGAAGAAGAAGGAGAAGAAGAAAAGCAAGAAAAAGAAAAAGAAGCCCTGACCCCAGCTGTTTGAAGTTCCTGCTCGGATTCACTATGTTTACATGCTCAGACGTCCTCGTATTTGAAGTCTCTGCTTCAGAAAATCCTCTTCATCTTCCTCTTCATCGTCCTCCAGTGGCCAAGCAAGCATTGGAAGTCGAAGGGTAGGGCATGGGGCATGGCAGCAGTCGAAGTTCGGCTCACATTGGACCCCTGAGTTGGTCAACTCAGTTGATTCACAGGACCCCTGGTGCGGGTGCCTCAAACGACCAGGAGTTTCACCAACAAAAGCGCATTTCATGTCAATCACATTTGGACGCAATACGACAAACATGTGTCTAAAAAAAAGAAAACACATAAACAACCATCACTTCTGTACGGAATTCTTGCTTTATTTCAAGATACGCTGTGCAACATAGGTCCATTCCGCTCCCAGATTCCGAATCCAGGCTCATCGTCAGACTCATCAGCTCTGCGAAAGAAGAGAAGAAAAGAAATGAAGCAGAAACAGATTGAGGTCTGGATTTGCCACTTCCTGCATAGATTGGTTGCCTGCATAGATCCTGTGAAAATCATGTCGGCATTTGAGAACTTTTGATTGCAGGCGCAGAGGCAGAAGGCCAGAAATTACCTGGTGATGCGGGGCCAACGACCTCAGGATTGAAATTGTTTGAATGATTTTGTTATGATTGAGTCCATGCTGCAACAACACTAGGCAGCTTGAACATGCAAACGTGCCTCCAGGCGTCGTCTCCCTGTTGGGTATATACCTTCAAGAGTCCTGATTGAATTCACCGAACTGGCGCCGCCAAGGCCTGAAGACACCGGATGGGCAATTCACTGAGCAAGTGACCAATTTCGAGAGCAGCTTCCGCGAAGGGAGCTGAGCCAATCGGAGTTCTGATCACGCCACATACACCAAGCCTGGTGGCCTGGTGGGGCTTGATTAATGCCGAAAATCCTGTGAAAACTGCTTCTTGGTCCTAAGATGGAAGAAAAGAACAGGTCCTGGCCCTGCAATGGCCCTGGCCCTGCAATGTGCAGTCCATGGACAAGCGCAAGACAAACGCGAGACAAGCGCGAAAAGAGGGTGTGCAGTGGTGTGCAGGCAGTCGCGCAAGCTTCGAGAGCGGGACTGCAAGTACAACCAACAACAGAAAAAATGGAGCTCTGAGATCTCAAACTTGGTAACTCCAGGTGAATTCCAGAACGACCGCCTACAGTGCTCGTCACTGTGTTCGTGTCACCTGCATCAGCTGTGTTGTCTCAGAGCACAACATCACAACATACAACAACGGGGAGGTCTGAGCGGCACGGACTTGTGCTGTTAACGGCCAGGATCCCTTCGCCCGATACCGGAAGGGTGCATCACGTCCGGGCAGCCCGGATGGGCCGGGCGAGGCCACGGGAGGTGGACGCGTCCGTCTGGCTGGAAGTAAAGGCCTTTGTTGCCCGACTCCTGTGGAACAGATGGCATATCATTATTGGTGCCAAATGCCGTGTAAGGTTGAAAAGAATCACCCCCATGCATACCAAACAACTTATGGCAGTTTCTTTTGTATGTCCTTTTTCCCGTTGCTGCGTTCCCACGCCCTTTCGCGCAATGGCGCCTCATCAGCTGGGACTTCTGATCGTGATGAACCACCCAAGCCTTTGAGGTATGGCAACGCCATGGAACACCCAAGCCAAAGCGTCCACAACGGTCAAACGGCTCTGCCAGGCTACTACGCGCCCGTGCAGAGCTGAGCTCGGGATTGGATCGCCCACGGGGAGCCCTCAAAGGGCCCGGGCCATTGGGTTGGCTATGAACCTGAAGAATTTGCCTGGACATTTGAGGTACTGAAATGTACTGAATCACTCTTTCTGTCCACCAGCTGTCAGAGTCACCGTGTTACGCAAGCTTTCGGGCAACACGCTTGACGTCCGATGGTCCGGCAAAAACCAGGCCACCTTGTTGTGTGCTCACATGTGCCCGCCTTCCACGGGTGTCACAGGCTGGGGGTGGATCCACCGAGGCCAAGTTCGATCCCTTCAAAGAGTTCGGAGCTTGGACGGCCGTAGATATGGAGTGGATGGGTCTTCGGACGTGGTGGGTGCCGAAAAAGAAACCAGTGAGGTTATGCAAGGTTGGCAACAACCCATGAGTTCTTTTGTACAAGAGTCACTTTGGACGTCTATTTCATCCTAATTCCTGTTTCCTGTCGGGAGCTGGGAAGGGAGATTATACAGGATGCCATTGAAAAATATTGGAATGAATCCAGAGAAGGAAGCACTCGATGTAAACAAGTGCACACACACACAATTTGGGCGATAGAGTCAGGAGTCACAAAACACCACACCACGAGTCAGGAAGTAGTCAGGAGTCCTCTTACTGTATGTCCTCTTCAGAACTCGGAGCGCAGATGCCTAAGATTTTCGAGCGCGATGAGTCACTCCCGGAAAACGCGTGGATCGCTTCGTCATCCAGCGTCATCGATCGAGGTGGCGCGATCCTGACGAGGCCATGGAAGGACGTGATGGGATGGGATGTTGGACGTGGCTGTGAATTGCTGAGAAATCTGAGAAGACGTTTTCGGCGGTGGCATGTTTTGGATTCATGTTTGAACTTTGAACCCCCAAAAGCGAATTGATGAGGGTCATTGGACCTTGTTCCCAGAGATTGAGCAGAGTGGTTTTCGGACGTCATGAACCTCATCGTGGCGACTGGTTTTTCAGGAGTCTCCACCCCAGTGCCCTTCACAGCTGCTCAGCCGCCCGAGTTCCCAGAACTCGATGATTCGGCGCCCTCTCGCTGCGGGCGTTGCGGGAGCACCCTGGCAGCGGAGAACAACTTCTGTGGGCGCTGTGGCTTGGCACGGAGCACCGACCGTGGCTATCAGCACCCTGAGAAGCTGCTGCCAGGTGGGGAAGTCTGGGACAAGTGGGGAGTTGAATATGGTTGAACGCCCGATTTGATTGTATATATATATATATATGTTAACTTTCTCTCTCTCTCTCTATATATATATATATTTGTTATACTTGTTTATTTTTATATGCATTTTTTGCATTTGGCAATCGCCTCGATGATTTCCGCCTTTGGACTCATATATAACTGCAAAATCTTCAAGGCTTCAAAGAACTCTTCAAGGCCGGGGCACGGCCTTCCGACGGAACGGTCGTTCGCAGACATGCTGGACTGGTTGGGCGAAGATGGTTGAACGACACCGCATAGAATGTAGACTCTTGATTAATAACCCCCCCATATGAACGTGGCCTATGAGCTCGCGGTCCTCCTCGCGGGCGGCTACGGGGCAACTTCGGTAGCAAGTACCTGGTGTGGCTCACTCTGGAGCGGGTAGACAGGTGCAGGTGTATGGGCGGGCGGAGTCTGGAGGTGTATGCTGGGGTGCTGGATGCCGAAGGCAAACCCACTCCAGTCCCACGGGTCTGGAGCCTCCAGATGTTTTGTGCTTGGGCTTCTGCTGGTTTTTCTGCTCAAAGGTGGGGGCGGGACGCGAGCAACCCCCTTCGACATCACAATCGGAGGACGTTGAGGTGCCCTCCTTCGGGAGCGGTGCCTCTTCCACCTTTTGTGTCGTTGGGGTCAGCAGTCGCTCCTGGCCAGAACGCTGCTGTGACGTTTGGGGGGGGTGGGCTCGGCGGGGGTGTGGTTGGGGTCTTAGGCCCGAGTGGCTTCGCCGAGTGGTTTCGCCAGGTGAGGTGCTTTCCGGTGCTGAGGGGTGTGGAGGTGTTGTGTCTGCCGGCTCGAAGAGTGTGTCTACAAAACGGAAGGTTGCGGGGGGACCGGTTCCGTCGGGGTCGCGGCATTTGCGGCGGCTGATGGCCCACGAGGAGTCTTCCGGGTTACGTACGTCGGAATCGCCAGCGTCGAATGGTCAAGAGTTTTCAGAAACTTTCGGCCCGCCGCCGCAAACGCAAGATACATCGGTGGAATTGCACGCCCAACGTCGGTTAGGTGCCCGCTCGTGTTCGGTTGCCGGTCGGGTTCGTTTCGGTCTGCTTGCCTAGAATATTCGAGGTTTAGGGCCTAGGGGCTAGCTTTTCGGGTACCGCGTTGGCTATCTTGCTGTCCGGGCACTACTGAGTTTGCGGGGCCGGCTATTCGCCGTGACCTCTGCCTCGATCTGCCTGGCATCGCCAGAAGACCGGCCCACGCCTGGCTGGGAGCCCTGTGGAGCAGACGCTCTGTTGCTTTCACGGCTTTGCCTGCCTGTCGTCCGGCTGCCTAAGGGGAAGGAGGGGCGGCTGGGGAGGGGCACCGGCTAGGGGCACCATACCCATGTGGTGAGCAGCGGCCGGGGTGGTACCTCCCTAAGCTGCGCAGGAGCGCGGGAGAGTCGGCAGGGCAAACCCCCGTTGTTGTCCCCCGTTAAAGCAGTACGATGAACCTAACAACATACGTCAATAGGTTTATAGTTTGGTTTATATGTACCCCCTCTTTGAGGAGTGGCGCCGGACCGGGGCGCCCATGGAGTGCGGAGACTGATCTCGTTCGTTCCTCCATATGAACGTGGCCAGCCTGCTTGCAATCCTCCACGCGGGTGGCTACGGGGCAACTTCGGCTGCAAGCCCTGATATCGGTGGCGGAGCGGCTAAGTTGGGATTCGTTGAGGTGTGGGGAGGTCGGTGTACTCGCTTGGACAGGGATGCCGAAGGCAAACCCGCTCCAGTCCTTTTAGTGGCTTCCCTCCACTATGCTTGCTGCTCGCAGGTCGGGGGCGGGATGCGAGCAACCTCCAGTGCCTTGCATAAAGGGGGGGACGTTGAGGTGCACCCGTAAGGCCGGGGGCTGTACCTCTTCCTCCACTTTGTGTCACTGGAGTCAGTCGTTTCCGGCCAGAACGCCGCTGTGGTTGGAGTGTGGGACCTTCGCGTTTTGAGGGGAGTTGTGGGGTTGTGGCTGTTGAATGCGTTTTGTGTGGCTTTGGTGCCCTCATGTTTGTGAGGAAGCGCGCTGGGCCAGGGCGCCCATGGCGCGGCGTCTGAGGTTAATGTCAGTTGGTATCGACCTTAGTTGCTGGGCTACCTTCCCCGTTATCGTTATTCATTCCCCATATGAAGAAGATTTCCAACTCAAATGAGGGTGGTGGTGGTTAGTCGAGAGTCTACATTAGTTATGGTTGCATGGTCCGGGTTGAAGATCTGACTGGTCCAGCCCTATGGCTCCTGACTCCTGATCACCCAATGATATCTGAACGCAAAGGTAATCCAGATCCACGTATCAATACCTCAACAAGTCGGTGGGTAATATCATATCTTTGACGGCCACAAGTCAGTGGGCTATTCTGTTTAGGATGGTCCTGATGGGCCAACTTCTAGAGGAACTTATGATTTCCAGAACAACGTACAATGTTGAAGGCACCCCATCGGCTCCATATATGGCTTTCAGGAGTGTTCATGGCGTTCATCCACCTTTAAGTTTGCAGGTTCCCTCCTCTTGGCTTTGTTTTCAGCATATGGCTTAGCACTGGACAGGAAAGACACGGTCCTGGTAGAGGGGAAATCACAGAACTTTGGACGTAACTCTTGGCCCAATTTCTGCCAGGCCCACCATTGCGTCATGATGCATCACAGCCGGGCCCCATGATCAAACCGGCGCTCGGGCCAAGCAGTGGGCGGCCCGGGCCACCCGGGTCGTTGGGGCCGCCACCCGGCACCGTGCGGCCGGGCGGCGTTTGCCCCGGCCCGGGGGGCCCGCTGCTAGGGCCACCGAAGGGGACCATTAAGAGCAGTTGCAGGCACCTGGGGAGGTGGGAGAATATCAGCGGACTCTTGGGTTGAAGGGCTCAGAATGATCAGGAACATGGGGCACTTCTGGACTCGTATGATGAAGCGTTGGCCATTGTTCCGTGGGTTCATGCGCGTTTGCGTCACGCAGGCCAATGAACCGAAAGCATTGCGCACCAGCAATGGGGCCGGTCTGCGGATGACGTGAGAGAAAACTTACAAGAGCGGTTCTTTTCCCCACCCCCAAATGTCGGTATTCTTCAGTATTGCAGAAGGTTCAACATCAGGCACATTTTGCGTCATATCCCCAAACTTGGCAAATCTCAGATACTACGCAATTATCCAGGTGGTCAGTTACAGTATATGTTTCATCATGTTTCATCCAAACAGTCTTGTGTTTTTGTTGAGCAAGAACTTGAGAGATGCTTAAAATTTGCACTCCTGGTGCCTTCGACCACTGGACGCCTCTCGCTGACCCAAGTCCCCATGTCAGCGCTGAAACCGTCAGCGAAGCCCCAAAGCATTGGCCTCTGTGGATTCCACAAAGAGGGAATCGCTCGGGGAGCCGAACTCGGCGCACCTTCGAGCACCGCGCACCTTCGCGACCAAAAGACTTGGGCGCGTTCTTTCCCGGCAGCTTTTGCCAGCCTTGGAGGCATTGTGGGTTGTTTTTGAAGCAACCACTATTAGATAGCATCTTAGACTTCAGGTTTGGTACTCATGGACTTCATGTACTGTAATGCAGAGAGCAGCCAATGGAGAGAATTGACTCTGCCCGTTTCAACTGCAAGAACCTGCGAGTTTCTTTTTTTTTTTAATCTTTCCTTGCCTGGTATATGTTTTTCAAATTTTGTAGCTTGGCTTACAACTGTCTCAGCATGTCTCAGCTATTTCGGTTGAAGAACAGTTAGTTCACCAGCAGCCGAAGGACACATGGCTTCACAAAGGGAAGATATGGAAGAACAGTTCTTTTGAGCCAGGGTTGCACTTTTGAGTATTCACATACATGTCATGAAAGGTCCTGAATCAACGAGATTTCCGGAGTCACCAATGAACATTTGTAGATTGACATGACCCTCGGACCGTTCAATGAGTAATGATGCGACGCAATGATGCAGCAGGCTGGTTTCACTGTTGTTGTCAGAGGGTTTCCTACTTACCGATTCAGACTTGCGAGTGTTCTTGCGAACGTAGAGTCTTAGAGATAGACGGGCAGGCAAGGATTTCTGAATATTCCAAAAGTATCGGATACACATCCTTCCCTCTTTCTATGTTTGTTACATGTTTGCTACGTCACGAATGGTACAGTGATACACAGAGGCATGGTGGCTCTTTGACAGGCACTATTAACTTGTTTGTTTGCACGTGGATGCAAAACATTGGAAAATACTGCACAGTGACGAATGATGCTGGATCACAAGCTCCTAGGTCAATGTCAAGACAGTAAAGTGCTATAGAGTGGTTTGATTTTGTTCTGCAACTTTAACCCTAGAGGTACATTCTTTGTCACAGGCCTGACTCAGTAGCTGCTTAGAATCTAGTTGAACCTTTTTCTAGCGTTTCGTGTCCAAACCCTTTTTGTTTGCGCATTTCTGCGCAATGTTCCATCCCAGTTGCTGCAGGCAAAGCCTCATGGCATCTTGCGCTGCCTGTGCACATGTTTCCTTTGCGCGGTCTCCGCGCAATTTGCGGAGCTCCTTTGCCCAGACAAGAGTCGGTGTGAATTCATCCCATCTTACTCCCAGAATTGCGAGTTTCTTCCAGACAAATGGAACTATTGCGTGTACTGGTAAAATGGGAGATCCCATCAATCCCATCCTTCGATTCGTTGCAATCCTAGAACTCTGCAGAACCCTGCCAAATGAGGTTTGACTACCTCCGGAATTCAGGCCGGTTCAGTCAGTGTTTTTTTAATTTTGCGAGGAGGTCAGATGCTTGAGGGTTTCGCCCGGTGGGAAGATATTTTGTTTTTAGTCGGGAACACTTAAGAAACAGACCTGGCTGACTTTGATTGACGCTAATGGCTTGGATTTGTGCTTGCTCACCCAGGTGTGAGCACATAGCTATAGGCAGCTCATGATACAGGGACACGATGACATGACAGGACAGTCTTCTGCAAATAGAGTTGTATCATGTTATATGAGTTACTTGTAACAGGTAGAAAGAGAGCCAGAGCGAGAGCAAGAGAGAGAGAGAGAGATAGAGATAGAGAGAGCTCTGCTGCCTCACGCTGCATGGGCTCACAGATGATTCCAACACTGTACTTGTGCCGTGGCGCCCGCGGCTGTGGCCCCCCATGCCGCGTGGCACTCGCTCGCCTGGGCGGCCACGCATGCACATGGCGCTCAGCGGCGCGGGCGCCCCGAGCGCCTGGTCCAGTGTTTCTGCGCGGAACTGCTACCTCCAGTGAAGCTAAGGAACGTGTTTGGCATTTGCCTGAGTGGGCCAAGCAGGAACCACGACCTCCGATGCAGCTCCGCTTGTTGGGCTTTGGCATGTTGGTTCCCCTGGCCGCCGGCTCTCTGGCGGTGCATTTGCTGGTGGATGATGACTCAGAGGCCGAGGACGACCTCAGTCGGGTGGCTTTGAATTGGTCCTTACACTATGCTGGCGCTTTGCTCTCTTGCGCAGGTGCCCTTCACTGGGGCATGCAGGTAGCAGAGCTTGGTGTGCCCAAGCGTAGCGACTACATGGGTTTGTACTACCTGATGCGCTTCAGTGGCCCTGTGGTCTTTGTCTTCTTTGGATGGCTGGGCTCGGTCTTGACCACGGCGCTCCCCGTGGAGGCATCTCTGTGGCTGCTCACGGGCTTTACCGGCTTGCTCAGTGCCGACTGGCTAGCGAAAGCCTTCCGGGTGGCACCAGCATGGTGGTTCCGGTGGAGAGCGGGCTTCAATCTTTCGGCCATGGGCTGCATCTTGATCTTGCTGCTGAGTGAGCGCAATCTCTATCTGGGCCAAAAGCCAAAGATTCGCATGTGAGAAAAAAGAAGGATTGCTTTTCATAGCGGCCAGTTGTACGAGCTTGCATTAGAAAGATTGTGGACGGACGAGTTCATTCAGGGAATCGTGGTACGCTTTCAGTTGATGCAATTGTTTGGAGGCCCCTTTTGCCCAAGCGCGCTTGAGCTCCTCGGCTGCAGAAGAATCGTGGTTCCCAACAGTATGTGTATAAATGCTCCAACTACGATCAAAGAACGTGCAGAGGAGGCTTCTTGACGCCAACTCATGCGACACCATCATTTCGAGCCAATTCGCACAAAAACACGTTGCGTGCACTACATCCGGATTTGTCAGGCTGTTTGATATATTGAGTAGGTTGGAGGCCATCGCTTGTAGGTTGGAGGCCACCGCTAGTAGGTTGGAGGCCACCGCTAGTAGGTTGGAGGCCATCGCTAGTAGGTTGGAGGCCACCGCTAGTAGGTTGGAGGCCATCGCTCTTAGGTTGAACGACAGTGTAACTTAGTGACTGGAAACTCATCCAAGTGCCAGTCGGACGGCAAAACCCAGCAAAGCTGAGCTGCTTTATTGTCTCGCCGTATTAACTCATGCCGGTGTTGACACAGTTCATCCATTCTGAAGTGAGTTGACTTGAGTGAGGAGATGTGGCGAATCGGCCAACCTCATCCTCCCAAACACGAAGTCAGACGAAGAACATGAACACACACACAAGCTGCACGTTCTCGCATGGACGTGATGAATCTTTTAGGCAAAGCGACGGCCAAGTTGCTCGCAACAACTTGGATGCTAGAGTTGGCCGAGACCAGCACATTTTCCCCACTTGACAACTTGCCTGTAGTAGACGCCACACACCGAGTGTGTCCACCGAATTCCGGGCACTTCACCAACACCAACCTATAGCAATTGCAGTGCACACTCGATTTCGATCGCACCTGTTTCGCTGCACCTGAGGCTTTGGTACTTGAGGGTGCCTTACGGCGCTGGAGTAGCAAAGTGTGGGGAAGGCGCTGGAGTGGCCGTTGGCATGCAGGGAGTGGGGATGAGACTACGAAGGCAATGCCACAGGCACAGTATTTCTAGCACTAGCCACGATTCTTGGCAACCCCAAAGTTGCCAATTGCTTGGGAAGTAATAGAAAGTGCAACCGAAGGAGGTCTTCTCCCCAAGTATCAAAGCAACTTCACGAGATTTTCGATGAGTGAGTCCAGGCGACCTGATGTTTCCGGAGGTTTCTCGTCTCAGTCGCCTCATGACTCAAGAATGATCACCCCTTACAGGACGCCACACATCTTTACGGTGCCAGTGATGTCGGGCCAACAATTTGGCCGTTGATGTTAGGCATTTTATGGCATTTCTTTGGCCATGCGGACCATGCGCACATCATAGCTTGATGATTCTGGGGTCATGAGATTTCAGAGGATCTTGACGGATTTTGTAGGTCACGCCTCTCCGATTTGGTACGACTCCTGGGCAGATTCAACGGTGTTTGCGGAAGGTTCCTTTTGGCATGAGGACTACTGTGACTGGAGTAAGGATTTATATAGCCAACAAATGCCAACAAAAACTAGGTCACCCTTCTTCTAAAGGTCCAGGAAAGCTAGGGTTAGTTTTGGCACCTGGGCGCTGGATGGTCCTGGCACGAGATCTGCTGACAATCTCGCACCTGGTGTCTACCCAAATCTTTCTCAAGAAGCATTGTTGAGGGATTGGGATCACGCAAGAGCCATGGAGCGAGAGAGAGAGGATGAGAGAGGGGTGGCTCATTTGGCATGCCAATTGTACTATGATGCAGCTTCTTGATCTGGCTTTGATGTCAGGGACATTGGACGGCCCTCCTTTGCCAGAGAGTGTTGAACTCAGCCGCTTTTTATTCCTTTGGTGGAGCCTTCATGTCCGTTTTGTCATGTCTTGTCACTATCTTTGAATCAAGAGCTTTTGACCAGAGAAGCACGCTGTCGCATGACAGCGATTCAAGCCTGATTGCAGCCAGTCACACCACATGCCCATGCCCCAGTCGTCAGTCGTCATTGAAAACAACAGGGACCGGTCGTCGCCCGGTCGTCGCTTTGAGGGACGAAAGCCGCGATCGGCAGGGCCAACCCCACCGCCACCCACGAGCACCACGACCTTCACAGTGGTCACCACCGTGCCTGGCTTTCAGCAGGAAAACCAGGCGCCACTGGTTGAGACAGGTCTTTTTTGACCTTGAAGGCTGTGGTGGTGGTGTTGTCGTTTCTTGATGTTTTTTGACGGTATATCGTGTTTGTTTGGCTGTTCTGTTTGATTCATTGGTTGGTTGGTTGGTTGGTTGGTTGGTTGGGTGGGTGGGTGGGTGGGTGGGTGGGTTGTTGTTGTTGTTGTTGTTGTTGTTGCCGCTGCAGTTGTTTTTCCTTCACGGGTGGCCGTTCTGGTGACGAGTTTGTTCATCGGTTTTGCTGTGCTGGGATGCTCTTTTGCTTTGCCCGCCCCTTTGGAGGGCCGCACCCTGGGCGACCTCTGACCCGGGTAACTGTGGGCTTGTTGGAATGCCCCAACCGTCCAACACTTAACATTTTCCTGTTCCTATTATTTCCAGGAAATCTTGCACTGCACACTGCACACCACTCAGTTTTTCGAAGGAATCCTGGACCTTTTCGATCTGTTTGCCGGCGCTTCTTTTCTGCAGGCCACCTGTTGCACGACGCTGCCCCCTCGGAGCACGGCCATTCCAGCCTACACCACGGCACCGCCCTACAACTATGCCAGCTCACTCAGTCCAGCACAGTTTCCTGCTTGTCTCTATTTTTTCCAGGTGCATTTCTCCCCAGCAACCGAGGTTTGGGACACCAGCACCGTGACGAACACACTCACCAGTAGCTCAAGCCTGACGAGCACGAGTGGAACAGCCTCTTGGAGACGGAACAGACGTTCTCAGTTTTCCTGGGGCGGGGGGCCGGGGGTGTCGCCGCTCGCTTGGGTGACCTCAGCTTGTCAGTCAGCTGATTCAGCTGAGGACACAACCATCAGCACCACATCAGTCTCCTCATCCAGCAGCTGAGTCGCACTGACACTGAACGGACACTGACTGCAGTGGGGATGCATCAGGCTGCATGTTTGTGTGAGAGGTCAAATGCCATCCGTAGTACCAATATGATACGGATACGATTTGGATCATCCGTGCGTACGGCACTTGTCGTGTGGTACGGTAGCTTGAAAAAGACGGATGGATCGGTCTGGTCTGGTACGGCCATTTCAGAACCACCCGCAACCAACTTGGGTCCTCAAGTAAAGTAAACTATTTGGGGCAGATTTCATTCAATACCTGTTGGGTTATAGCGGATGTTCTGAAAGTAAACTCTTTGGGGTCCTCGTCATTGCTGCACTTGGTCCAGTCCGCTTGGCGTTTTGGGTCCGCTCCGCGAAGCGCTTTTTCTTCGTTTGGTGCTTGTTCAATCCCACCATACCACCAAGCGACCAAGCATGAATCCCACCGGTGCGCAAAGATGAGGCCAATTTGGCCACTAGATGATGCGCGTGAACAACGAAAAGAGATTTCAACAACCGCACTTCTTCCGTGCAGTTTGTTAGTTGAAAGTTCTCATGAAAGTCATTTTTATTTGGTTCTTCCATGTTCAATTCGCTTTCCTGAGTCCAAAGGGTGACTTGGTAGTTTCTTTCATGTTGGCCTTGTTGATCCCTTTTGCATTTTTTCCCCAAGGTACTCAAAGCATGCCCTGGTGGTGGAACAGCTCCTATGTCTCCACAACCACCTCGATGTCTACAAGCAGCATCACCCACACACAGACCACTAGTCACTTGGAGTAGGTCGCTTCAGTGACGCTTTGTTGTGTTGTTGCTGGTCTTTTTTCCCTGGGATGTTAGTTTCTTTGCTTGTGTTTGTTTGGACAAAAGGGCCTGGGGCATGGCAGAGCAAGTCATCCGGGGGGTCGACTCTACGGCACGTCACTGGCCAAAGATGCGCACGAAGACGATACGCCAAGTCAGTGGTTGAGTTTCATCTTGACATTCTCCTCAACCAGTCTAGGCTGATGGTAGAAACAGAAACTCCCATGAAACGGATTACCAACATCCTGTGGTTCTGAAAAAATGCCTTGCCAGCGACTTCGCAGATTTTGGGTCGACTTTGTGGTAATTCATTTCGGCTGACGATGTTCAAAGTTGATTGACTCTCGGTTCATGTGTCCCGGTGTCCCTACACCAGAAAAACGACGAAGATACTGGCTCTTGACGTACTGGGAAAAAGCAGTGAGTAGACCCAAGAGTGTTGTTCACCTACAGCCTACAGCAACTATACACTGTACATGAGTTCAGCTGGTCAAAAATAGTTACCTACAAATAGCCTACAAACATCAAACATCAAACTGCCCACTTTCTAGAGTAAAATGTCAGAATGACCAACAACTGCAGGTTCTGCCCCAATCTCTGGTAGAGGGGAAACTTGACTATAGACACTTGTTGGCAGGATCTGGAAAGAGATTTGCGTGTGGGTCAAACCATGGTGTATAGTTTGACAATGTTTGGTGGTTCATGCTCAGGGGTCAACCACGGATGTTTGTTCGATCTCGTCCAAATCTTCCAGCTCCTGATCATCGGTGTCAGGTACAAGCTCTTCTCGTACCACGTCTACCTCCTCCAGCATCACACTGACCAGTACCACCGCACCCTGGCCCAGACCCACCACCACTACTTCAACCTTCACGCGGCTCAGCAGAAGTTGGAGACTTGGGAAAAAGTGGTTTGCCGGATCACAAGACCACCAGATTTCACAGAACGGCTCGATCTTTTTGAAGTGGTGCAGGGGGAGACTCATGTTGACGTTCCATCATATACTTTGGCCAACTGGGAAGACGTACGCAGGCTGTTCAATTGTTCCCGACGAAGCAAACGCGTACCCTGGGGTCGCTGGTGTTTTGGGACCTTTATGCGGCAGCAGTGCTGCCATGTGCTGCCAATGGTCGGTCGTGGAAGTTGATTTCATGGGGCCATGGCAGCAGGTTTGAGCATCCAGCATGAATTTGAGGGTTAATCTGAGGGTTAATCTTGCTCAGACCTACCTACAGTCCTACATGACATTTGATGGGCAAGAACCGATGAGGCAAATAAGACTTGACCTGTGGATTCTGTGTTGGGTTCGCTGCAATGGGTCATCCAACCATCCTATACTCTAAGATTTTCTCTCGGTCGCCAGGTCCTCCACCACCAACAGCAGCACGGCGACCACAACCACGACGGGCTCCTCCAGCTCCACCAGCTCATCGAGCCAAACGTCCCCCGGCCGAAACGACGAAGTTTCTACGGACTCCGCTAAGCGGTTGTCTGCCGGCGAAGGCGCCACAGGTCCCAAAACGGATGGAAAGGCCCGGCCAAAGACGGAAGACCGGAAGTCGGCTGCGCCTGAATTGTGAGGTATACGAGCTCCACCAGTAGTACCATATCACAGACCACCACCACGACCATCTCCACGCCCTGGCCTTAAGCAGAAAAGCAGCCAAAATGCTGAAATCGTCCTTTTGAATCGACCTGCGGATATGTGGTCCGCATCAAGGTCCAAGAGTCTAAGAACAGACAAGCTGATTCTTGAGAATTTGAGATGATCTTATTTCAGTGCGACACTCTGAAAACACCCTCGATTGCGTATGCGTGCCAAGAATCAGACATTCGGCACATTCGGATGCTGCCATCGGTGTCAGGACCTCTACGACGCTGAGTAGTACCACGACGGTTCTTCCTGACCCACCGGTCCCTTGCTTGCCGCCCGGGTCCCCGAGCGGAGAGTCCGGCGGAGTTGTCCTTTTTTTCCGAGGTCCAAGTTCTTCGGCCCCCAAATGAACGTGGCTCCGGTCGTGTGGCAGCGATGTCGACCAAACTTTTCGGACAGAGGTGAAGAATGGTGAAGACATGAACAGAACTAGAGGCCGGCAGGTGGTGGGAAAAACATGGAAAAACCAGGTCCCAATGCCATCCTCACCATCGCTCGTTTGCACCGAAAGCTTTTTTGTGCACATCAAATGGTGATACCCTTTCTCATTGCCTCCAAAACTACACTACTTGAAAAAGCACCTGGTTGTTTCCTGTTTTGCAGGTTCTCGACTTCTTGCCAAGCAATGTTCTCGTCACCTAGGCCCCAGGCCCTCAAATTCTACTTCTTTGTCTCTGATGCCCAGCCTTTTCAACCTCCAACGGCGCAAGGCTGTGTCCCAGAATCACACCCACCGCCTGCCGTGGCGTCCTCATGTCGGATCAGCCCTTTGGTCTTCCGAGTGGGATGTGTGGAGGGAGCGGAGTGGCAGACCCGGGCTTTTTTCGGGCCCCGGTGTGGTTGGTCTTGCGGGGACTGGGAGTGAGCCAGTTTTGGGTGGGACTGGGTGTTGGGCGGATCTTGTTGTGGGGTGGGGGTGGGGTGTAGCTGCTCACATGCTTTTGCGGTTGAGGCTGCAAGTTTGGTGCTCTTTTTGGCGCTAGGCCTCCATAATGATTGATCAATTGATGGTTGACTCTCGATGAACGAACCTGCAAAGCGCTGGTTCCTTGAGGGATTTGATCCCTAACAAGGAGTTATCTCCTGTCGTAAGTAGCTCAGTACAACTTGGGGCGTCAAAACCCTCAACAACCATTTAAAGGTTGTTCTTCCCTGAAGCTGCCAGAACTGTCGGCTCACAGAAAGGGTGGTCGATGGGGTATGTCTCATCCGAAGATCACTCGCACCACCTGAAACCTTGAAACGTGGACGTGTGGCTGGAGGATTTGCGAAATGGGTATGGTCGGTATGGTTGAAGAGAAGGGCTGGAATTGGTCTGAACCAATTCGGTCTGACCAGGGTTCCGGGTCTTCAAGTTTCCAGAACCTACCAGGTTCCATGCTTGTCGCTGTGTTCATGTTTTAAAGCCCGCCCTTACTTATAGTTATATAAGTAGGCAAATACTGACTTACAGTCAGTATATAATGAAGTGAGGGAGTAAGCTAGTACATAATATGGACACAGGATAGCTCATGCTTCTTCAAGGAAGCTCCTCCTGCCTGAAGGCGCACTAATGATTTGGTTCCTAGACGTTTAAGTCAACGAAACGTCGCCTAAGGCTTCATGGGGTTCTCATGGGTTCTTTGAGCTTCTTTTATGGCCCGATGGGTCAAAGCCTGAAGCCCTCACTATGTAGCTTGGCCTTCCAGGTAGGTCAACCAAAGCCTGGTTTTGACCCAGGGCCATATGGGTTTTGCTGCATGACCTCACCACTCCACTACTCCAGAGCAGCGCTTTCTTTCGCCTGAGGATGTGCGAGACAACAATGCTCAGCAGTGCACCCAGTGCAAACCAGTGCAATCCATGTTTAAACAAAGAGGCAACCTCCTCGCAGCCCCTGGAACACCCTGTTCCAATATGTTCCAATCGTGATGGAAGAGCAATGAGTAGCCCCTTTTCGGAAGTGCTTTTTCCTATCTTTGAGCACATTTTTTCAGTACCTGTAGTGTTTGTGCACCATCTTGGAGAAGGTGACAAGCACCACGGAGAACCATTTCAGAGATTTTCACGGCTGGTCCAAAGACACACTGCTTGGCTAGAAGATCTTCCACAGAAGCAGGGAATCATAATTTCTATCCATCAGCTGCAGTGGTCAAACTTAGACAAAATTACGGGAGTGACATTTGTAGCCGTCAGTAAGCCAGAGAAAGATGTTGCAGTATTTATCAGTATATGATAATTTGTATTACTTTTTGTGCACTTCGGAACGATGGCGCCCCCATCTTTCAAGCATGTGAATACAGAAAAGAAGCCTTGAACCTCTGAAAGCACATTCTTGGGGAACAAAGGGTCCCAGATTTTCCCCACCAGATCGAGACTCGCGTCCGATCGAGACTCGCGTCCCGCGCACGCGGCCGAGACTCGGCGTGCTTCGAGCCCTCGGAGCTGCTCTTCACTTGTCCTGGCACCAACAAGGTGGGGCGGTGTGAACGGTAAACCCACCAGGGCGTGCGGTCAAGGGTCGAAGACCGGTCAAGGGTCGAAGATGCTAAGATACTGGAAGATATCTGGTGCCAGGAAGATGCTAAGTCTGGGCCTTCCGTGGGCCTTCTGGAAGATGCGGGTCGAACACTTCTGGTGCCATGGAAGGCCCCAAATTGGGAGACCCCGCACATACTCGCTTTGACTCGCGGTGGATGCGAGTCCATGCAAACGGGCGGGTTCTGCGGTTTGGCGACGGGCTCTGTAGAGATGTGGCAATGCTGGCGGTTTTGGAAGGACAATATTCATGGTCCGCATGTGTTGATGTTCTCTGTGGTTCGACCCGGCTGGAAGAGCCAAGGAAGGTCACTATGGGTGTCGTTCCCATTTGTTTGCTCCTTGACTCACAAGAACCCAAGGAGCGGGTTTGCAATCCCCCCCCCTTCACTCCCACCGGAGCACTCCAAGGATCCCAATCGCAATCAAGACCTCACTGGAGGATGGGAGTGGGAGTGGGTGTGAAAAAAGGATCAAAGGCCTCCATCGCAATGGGATTTGTGAAGAAATGGACATAGTTGAATGATGAGTGGACGATGGACCAATGGCATGTTGGGATGTGGTGGGACCTCATCCTTATATATGTTGAGTCACTGCATTGAGGTCGATTATTTTTTGTTGTTGTTGCTCAAAAGGAAAAGCTCATGGGATGGCGTAAGACACCAAGTGATGATGATCAATAGAATTCCTGGAGTTGTTCGTGCGAGCCATCAGCTCGTGCTGATTGCATCCCTGCCCCTTGTGCATACATGTTTGACAACATGCTTTGTGGTGTCATGTTCGGTGCTATTTGGGAGAAATCCCATTCCAAGAGGCAGGTTGTTTTGTTGAAGTTGCACAACTGCTTGGGAAGTACTCGTACCCGTCGTACCCATTACCCGTCCGTCCTGAGTCTATAGTATATATTGAAATTTGCCAGAGGACACCAACCAATATAAAACACCATAACATTCATTTGATGAAGGCTTCATCCGACCTGCTTCACTGCTGTGCGGCCCGAAAGCCGGTGGCTTGCAGGACACTATGGTGTGAAATGCTGGATTTGCAGCTTCGATAGTTCCGCACTGAAGGATGGCTTCCTGACGGACGTTCGAGCTCTCAGACCCTCCGGGTGGGTAGAAAAACGGAGACCGGGTGGGTGAACCTTTCAGCAGAAGGTTTCGAAAGACTGGCTGTCTCCTCGAGAGGGCAGCCAGTTGGAAGTCCTCTTACTCTGAGATCAGCGTCTTTTTTCTGTCTTAAGTCTTAAGCATGATCTCATTTGCATCTCATTTGCCCTCCTTGATGAGACAATCACGTATATTTAAACATATGTAAACCATATGTATAAATGACCTGATACAGAACAGATCGCAAAGCAAAGAGGTCTTAGCACTTCGAAAGCGGACAACCCCATGAGCAATAGTAACTGAACGACACATGGTGTGTCTTCTTGGAATCGTCCAATGCTCCGTCCAAAACGGCTCACTGGAGCTGTCAGGTGGACCTTCGAACAGGTTACATCCAGGTGGATCTCAAGTTCGGCCGGGACGCCCGAGGACGTCTGCGACGGTGGGGTCTCCGTTTTTCGCCGTCCGTCCGGTGAATCAGATCCGAACGGATCCAGGGACCGTCGGGCCAGTGGGTTGGTCCAACTCATATCGTTTTATTATGTTTTAGCCTTTAGCTCATTGGTTCGCCTCTCTTTGCAGAAGCGACACCCGAAGACACCCTCTCAGACGATCGGATGTTTCATGATTTGTCCGTCTCAGCTGCTACGCAATGACCCCACGCAGATGAGGTCCGAACATGTTGGGCAGCACCCTCAACGAGGAGCACATCGACGGATATGTGTCTTGGGTAGAATGAGGGGTTGTAGATCGAACGCTGGTGTCCAAGTGACAGATTCGGTTGCACACGGCACACCCTTTCGATCATGATGGACCGGTAAAGCAATGTCAAGTTGGCTCCGCAGCGTTGAATGGTCCTACTGATTGCAACGCTTTGCTTTACGAAATGAGGGAAGTATCATTTGAACGTTTTGCTGTCGAATAGCCACAGCCAAACTGAGCCAGAAGAGATGGAGCAATAATGAGGATTGATGAGCAATAATTGTCTTGAAAACGAACAATCAAAATGCAAGTACATAAAGGATCACCACCCCCTTAGGCACTGAAAACAGGGGGGGACCTTTTTATCATATGATCTCACATGTTTGTGCCATCTGTGCGTGCTGTCCCATACGTCCCATAATTGTAACTTACATTTTCCTGAATAATGTAACTTACATGTTTGTTTAGGCCATTTCAGGCATGTTGGCACCTGGAAAGAGTAATATTACATGTTCTACGCCTTGCCAGGAAAGTGTTAGATTACATTTTCCAGGTACCAACCTATGGAAAATGTAAGTTACAATAAGAAGGTCCCCCCCATCATGGGGGTGGGGATTATAAAGGGTATTAAAGGGCAATTGTTCCGGATGTTTGTCTTTTTTAACCAGTGTTTTTTTGCGCCAAGACTTTTACTGCAACCATGCGATGGGATTTGTTCGAAAGGAGAATAGCAGCAAGACTGCTGCCTTACTGAGAGGCAGTCGTTCAGATTCGCACATCAGTTGCTCTTGAGTTCACTTGTTTTTCATGTCAAGTGGTACTGTAGCAAGGACGCTACTAGGGGCTCCTGGCATCGCTACTAGTAGCAAGTGCCTTACTACTAGTAACAAGAAGCTAGTAGAAACAATATATAAATTTGAACAATAAGCTACTAGGAACAAGTGCATCGCTACTAGGAGCAAGGGCCAATATGTAAATCACTTGTTTTTGAACACCGGGCAGCGGCCGAACAAACACGCCGGCGCGACACGCACCGCTCCGAGCCGAGGCGATCTTCTTGACGGACCTGGAGGGTGACCGATACGACTTCTCCAATCCAGCTGGGATCGCAGGGGTTTTGGGGTTGTTTGGTTTTGAGTCGTAGAAGATGAAACTATTTGAAGACATCGTACGTATTGGAGGCTTCTAGGAATCAACTCTGTTGATCAGGCATTCAAACGAAGTTTGAATGAACACGCAATGAACACCTTTCGCTTTTACTTGTACTGTGCTTCACTTAGAATAATACATTTTTTTGCCCTTTCGCAAGTGATATTTGTTTTTATTGAAAAAGGCAGTGGTTACTGTATAAACGCTCATTTTATTTGGGAGGGATTGCCGTGCAACATGTTCACAACAAAAACGTACAAACCACATACAAACACCAAGGAAGCATGTGTCTTTTTTCCTGCATCGCGTGTTGGCTCCCGAGTGCCGACCGAGCGTGGTCTCCTTAGGTCGTCTCTGTGCCCAAGAAGTTCGGTAGTGGTTTGGCAGCCAATGGCTGCTGTGAGGCCCTGAATTGTTTATTCGTTTTTTTGAAAAGTGATTGATTTCGTGGGTCAGTGAGGATTGGCTTGGTCTATCCCATTCAAATCCATGCAAATTAATGATTGGAAAAAGAGTATCACTGTATGTGCATTTTTTTAATCTAGATATTGTAGGCAAACTTAAACTACTTTTGAGATCATCATCGACTGGTGGTGAGAGGATGAAGGCGTCCTCTATCGAGGGCGAAACTTCCTAGCTTCAATGTTTGCGCAATTTGTGCCCCCAATTAGAAGGAATCATGGCGGAAAACAACCCACCGCAGGCAGTGATTTGTTTTTCTTGTCCATGGTGTGGCTGCTTCCCCGCTGTCTTCGACTCGGTTCACCGCATACTTTAGTCGTTGGGATGGACATAAGTGCACCGATGCGCAGGGATGTTGCACAATTGAGCCTGTCGGCATGACCTCAAGCCGGCAGTTGACAAGAATGTGTAAGGTTGAGCAAGAAGGAATTGAATTCTCAATGTTTGATGACAGTTTAAATAACCAACCTAGAACCAAAAGTGGAACATCAAATTTCTCCTTCCTTCATGGCGTTTGATGGTCATTGGCAGGAAGATGCCTACTCTGCTCGAGTGACAACCCAACTTCCAGACGGAGTGACACAGGCTTGAGGGAGCGGACGGAGTGCTCATCGTGGGCTGTGGATGACCTTCACGGACCTTCAGACCCAGTTAAAACTAGAGTTAAAGAACCCCCCAAGATCGATTGGATGGTCTTCGCCGTCGGTTTTCGCTACCCAATTTTTGAGGTTAACACAGGTCCAAATCGGTCATGTCACGTCTGAGGGAGACGGATCTGGAGATGACACCTGCAACTTGCAGTGTCTCCAGAGTTCCTCAAGATTGGCACCTGGGTCAGAACAATGGGCTGGCCCTGAGAAACATGCTAGCTGTTGAACAGAGTGCAGCTTCGTCTGGACGACACCTGAGCCGATCCACTGATGACCGGCGATCATCGGTCGGCCAGGTGCGCTTTGAGGTGGCCCCGATCCTGACAGGCACATGTTGGACGAACAAATTAGCTCTCAGTATGTACAAACTATAAGATGAAAATACCACCAAGAGGTGCAAGGTGCTGGTTACAGAAAAGAATAGAGGCTCTACTAGGAAGTACAGGTCTTGGAAACTTATATAGAATCGTTAAAAGGTCAAAGAACTCCAGCTCCGAGCCTTGTTCCACATCCTCAGCCTTGAAGCGCTTCAGGCCCCTGTTTTCACCTGAAACGAAGACATTCGGATGATCACCAGCCACCCAAGTCACATGCAGGGCTGGGCCCTTTGGCAGTGGGCCGCATCTCTGTGCAGCGCTTGGGAGGGCTTTTTATGGGGTAGATTTGGAAGTTGATTGACTTGAAGGATTGAAACCTGAGCCGCTATTATGACTCGACTATGACTACTATGACTATGACTTTCTCAAATCATCAAGAGGCTCAATCAATTTCAGGCAGCGAAGCGAACATGGACAGCTGGCAGGATGTCACACTTGATGCCATTGGTCAATTTCCAGGTTGTTCTACCACCGACAGTTGTAAGGCACTACAACTTGCTGTATCCACTCCCGGGCATGGAAGATTGGCCAAAGCAGACACTGACTTTGCTGCCGAGACGAAAAATACAGAAGTTTGGTGTCCAGAATCTGTTTGGTGTCCAGTCGCACGCACAACCTTCCGTCCCCCGGAACCCGGAACCCCCCGTGGGAAACCACGACGTGAGCGGATCCCGTTGCATCCTTTGCTCGCGTCCTGAGGCGCCGGTGGTGAGCACCGGCGAGATTGTCCGTTGGGTCGATACTGTCGGGGATGAATCAGTTTTACCACGGTGTTCTTTTGGGACATCGACAGACCTAGTCATCAATAGTCAGACCGATAAAAACCAAGGCATGTGTGAAGGACTTGTTACTTTTCTTTCAGGTTTTTTTCAATTAGTGTTTTTTTTTTTCTGGCAATGTAAGTTGTGACCTGTTGTGACCCTTTCCACAACATCTCAGAGTCTCACTGGAAGAATCGCCAGGTTGATGCCCAGCCGTTCAACCAAGTCACATCCTTTGCCCAAGCCTCGGTTTTGTGCCACCGTCTCGGCAGCGTGGTCATGGAGCGTGAGGTTCTCGACGAGGTTTGGAGGTTCATCTCTTGAAAAGGTTTGGTGGTTGCTTGATGTTCGCTGGTGATGACACACCTTTAGATGCCTTTGGACCAAATTCATGAACCAACACACAATGGATGTTTCTGCTAGGCATGCCAAACCTACTATTCTTTGGCCGATGCCTCGGTTTTAGCCAGTGCTCATCAGTGTCAGTTTGTGACACGATTATGAATCGGTTTTATGCGATTCATAATGATCAAATTCATTTGATTTCCAATTGAAAATAGAATAACTAAGGCCTTCATTGCATTGCTCACAAGCAGACTAAACCATGATTTCTAAGAAATTCATGAGAAAATAAACATTATATAATGAATATATATTGGATTTATCCTATTACCTGAAATAAACAATAAACAAATATTATCATTTTTTTAAACAAGATCTATATTAATTATCATCATCCATTATCATAAATATTAGGATTAAAACACGGATAATTATTGGGATGAAATTATGAAATTTGGGATATTATGATCTTTTTAATATATAAGTAATAAAAGCCAATAGGATTATATAATAATATTTATATATATATATAATTATATATTATTATATAGAATTTATATTATATAAAATATATAAATTTAAATATATTTAATTTTACCCTGAACGTCGATTGTTCTGGTATACATTTATTATGAAATGGACGATTTATTTTCTTGATTTGCCTTAGGTTGCTTTATATTTGGGTTTTGCGCCCCTTTTTTGTTCGGTGGATTGTGGATTATGGAATCGCCCCGTTGCATTGGGTTTGGAATTCAGATTACCTAGACACATGGTGGGATCCTAATTTGATTAATCTTGATACGCACTAATATGACCTAATTTGCTGGCTAAGTGCCGTTATCCTTGAATTCGAACACGCATTGGCAAGAGATTTTGTTCTGTGACCCATTGCTTCTGAGTATGGACGACAATATATCCATGGATCACATATTATTTATGGATCTCCTGGACACATGCTAAGCCCAGCTTAAGCGCCCTCGCATAGAGCCGGAGTCATCTCAGGGAAAAGCAGCTGGGAAAGGCAGATCGAAACCTCAATTAAACTCCTCAACCACCTCTTCGAACCACGACGGGGATATCGAGCTTTTGATGATGTTGGCCAATCTGACCCTGCGTCAAGAGGATATGCTTAATTAGATGGCACTGGATCACAGCTTCCTGTTGTTTCTGCAAGCCGGCCGTGGATCGATTCTGCCGGGAATGATCCTGGCTGCTAAGGAATGGCATCAACAGAGACAGAATTCCGGCGTTGTTCTTTTCGACAGGTCAACTTCCTTAAGGTGGTCGAGATCTTGATCCAACGACTGACGAAGCTGAAATACGACAGCATGGACGATCCATTAGTCTAGGCACTTCGACAGAAAGGAATATTGACAGCAGAGAATGCCTGGAATTACCTCTCATGGGACAGTGCGGCCAAATGTCTTCGACAACGAAGCAACAACCGCTGATGTAGGAGAAGGTCCAGGAGATCACCATCCAGCTCTCACAGTTGGCAAATCAGGGCGACCTGATCTAGCGTTTTTGCGCCCTTAAACCCATGAATCGAGACCAAATCCCGGACGACTCCCAGGTGACGATACCGTGGCGCCTCGATCTCAGCCTCCGCAGCGCTGCCTCCACTCAGCTGTTCGAGATTCTTAACACCTTGAGCGGAAGGGGGATATGCTAACAGGCCTGCAAAGATCCCCGCTTGCTACCGCAATCGCCCACCGTGTGACACGCTGATGCGCCAGTTGCTCCGGACCAAGCTTAACAATTCATCAAACGCCTGCTACAGCAATGCAGCACTGATGGGACAACTATGGGCCACTTTGGCCTTTGAGGGCTTTGATCCTGAGCTTTGGGATCAGTGGAGGACGACTCTACTTGAATTGCTCGACACCCCAGACGGTGTGGATCTTTGTGCATCCGTTCCATTTCAACGACTGCTGCAGCCGTGGTTCAATGAGCACGCTCCCACTGAACAGCAGGATATAGCCGAATTTTTGGGTTGGCTACGAGGTCAACACCTCCATGGCCATGTTTGGGGTCTGGAGTCCAATGGCTGACAAACACGCTTGGCCAACTCCACTGAAGACCGGGGTGCACTCCTAGCACCTTTGCTCCTTCGAATGCCGGAAGAAAAGAGATGTAACCTGCAAATTTTGATCAACATGTGGCACTGCTAGGATCCCTACACGAATGCCTGGATACATGCCCATCCATGCATTGTGTTGCAACTCGAAAGATTTCCTGCCCTCGGTTTGAAGCGTGACACTCCAGTGGACTTCTCTCGTGCCGAGGTCCATGTACCGATCTTCAATCATCCCTCCGGCCGGGATGTCAGCTGGCTCCAATACCGTGTGGTGGCCATAGCTTGTCACTTTGGAGATGATCCAGACAGTGGCCATTACCAGTGTCTCTTCATCAGCTCGGGTAGCTCCTGGCTGACAGATGATGGGAAAGCGGCGATCAGGTGCCCGGTTGTTGACCCCATCCGCCGCTCAGCATATCTGATCTGGTTGATTCCTCAGGATGATCTGAACTTGTGGTGGCGGAGACCCATCGAAGATTTGACCGTCGACCTGTCCGATTTGCTGGCTACGGCCTTTTTCGTTGAGGCTACTTAAGCCTTTTTGACATTCGTTTTTTCGCACGCATCGTGACTGTGGCTAGATGCTCACTGAAGCACCCGCAGCTAGATAGTTGTGCTGCCCAACACGGGCCTGACCGCTCAGGCTGGAAGTGAATGAATGAAAAAATACTTTTAATTTAATATGAATGATTATAACATTTTTGATAAATTAATTCTATGTCGATTATATTTCATTATTTTTAAAAAATATTCAAATATTATCAAATTTTATTCAAATCAAATTTCATTAGAAATATTACAATCATCCAAAACCGAATTAATTATTAAATCGATTTTGCATTAATTATTTCTTTAACGAACGTTAATTCGTCCGTATTGGGCCGCCGATGGATGAATATTTGGTTATTTCTGGAATAATTGAGCCTTTTATTTATATTGATAAATGAAAGCAAAAAATGAGTGTATTGCAAATTATTTTGTTTTTATTCTATTAAGAAATTGATTAATTAGGAATTAGGTCCGAATAGTGGTAGTGGACGGCTCCAAATATTTTCATGGTTCTTAATGGAACAAACCACAAAAGACAAAAGGCAAATATTGCGACAAAATTCATCCGTGCGTGGCATGTTGTGAGGCGCTTCAAAATTATCCGTATTAGTTGGATGCCTGAATGAAAGAACACAATGCGACAACGCGACAATGTCTTTCCGTGTGCCTCGATCCTCCGTGCTCATGGCAAGATGAAATTCCCATCCATAAAGTGGAATCGGCACGGATATGATCTATTTTTCAATACGGTACCCCTGAGCCATCCGGCAGATTCCCCGGCATCATATTGTGCCAGGGGATGGTGAGAAGCAAATTAGATACGGAATTGAATATCAATAAAATCATTCCGGAGAAAAAATAACCTCAGGCCTTGCAAAGGCAAGCAAACGAACAAGAGATGTGGTCCATGCATCCCATTTTCCCATATTTCATAAGTGAAATTAAGGGTCATGGCCATCGTCCAGGGCTGAGCCTGAACAACACTGTTCAAATAGCATGTGGCACCATTCGAATACATGGAGGTGGATCGAAGATATTGCAAGGAGCGACCATTGGAGGTCAATTGGCCGAATCCGAGCCAGGCAAATTGCGTGATTTCATTTCCCACCAATCTCTAGATATAGCCGTGCAGCTCGTTGGCCTCGTTAGATCGCAATGAGATCTCGAATTTCCAGGGAATGGCCGTGGTGGCGTCCTGTGGCAAGGTGTTTTGCTTCAATTGCCTCAAGGCGGAAAAGCGGTGCGCGAGCCGTAGATTGGCGCTTGAGGTATGAATCCTTTGCAGGATGGTGCCTAGGAATAAATCGGATCCTGCTTGGTGGGTCGAAGAATCTATACCTTGGCGCCCCAAGCCAAATATTACCATCTATGATCTTCTACGAATATTCCTTTCAAAATCAAGGTCCTCACCAAATCGTCTTCTTTTCGGTCTAGATTAAGCTTGCTAGCGCGTAAAATTAACTCCTGAATGAAAATCTGAAAATAACGTCTGCGATTGAATGGCCTCGCCAGCCTTCTTTACAGATTCCACTAATTGGATTTATCCAATAGGAACGGCAGGAGATTATCCCGTCCGCGCTGAACGAGCAACAAGAACGAACGATCCATATTTAATGCATTCAGCTGGTCCTCCTGTCGAAGGTACAACTGGGCAATCATCTGGATTAATTCGTCGGATTTCCCAGAACTGATGGATCTGAAGTCCAAGGAATCGGAATATTTCCTGGATTGTTCCCGGCCATGTGTCCTGCGCCCACTTGATGGTGAAATGGTGCGGGATCGCTTCAAGATATGATTTTTTTTCATGCTGCTATTAGGTCCGAATAGAATTAATCATCTATTATTATTTCCAAATCTGCCGGCATCGAGAGAAGCAACACAAGCGGACCGAAAGACCCAATCTACGAAAAGAATCGAGGCTATGTGGGTCAAAACTTCATCAAGGAGGGCAATCTAAATCCATTCCGTATTATGAAGAATATATTCGTGCACATGTGGGTGTGTACAAGGCCGGATGAGGTCCACGCCCAATAAACAGGTACATGGAATTCAAGATCAATAATAATATGAAGAATCTGATCAATCACAAGACAGGTGTGAGGCAATTCCTAAATATGAGCATTCCATCGTGCGGACTCCATGTATCAGGTTAAATGCTGCTCTGGTCGAAAGGTCGGTGTGACACCAAGGCGTTATACAAACACATATTCGGATGTCCAAAGGAGGTCTTTGCTCAAAAATACATCATATGAGACCTGCTGAATCAATGGCAACAATCCGCAAGGAATAAAAACCTAATTGTTCTCAACGAAAATTTCATAAAATTATGAAAATAAGAAAGATTCATATATGAATTATATTTATGAATTTATTCATACAAATATGAATATTGAAGTAATAACAAAATTCATATACCAATAAACATATTTATAAATTTAGATTTGATCCTGAATTTAATGAATCATAAATGGTCAAAAGGATATATACACTATTTATGATATTATACATATATAAAATAGTAATAATTTATAGTATAAATTTGCTATTTTTATGAAATATCATTAAATATTAAATAGTATAATCTATGTTAATTTCATATATAATTCAATAATGTTTAACATATAAGAAGAAGGGAAAACGAAAGATAGGAAATCCGGAAAATGGAAGGGCAGAAATCA